TCCCCACTTATACCTAAAAAAAATCTTTGTCCCTGGAAAATATTTTTTTATATTTTTTGGATAAATTTTTTAAAATTAAGAATGTAATGGGAGAAAAATAACTGTTGTTCAAATAACACTATCGGTTTAAAAAAAATTGTTTATTCATGTCGGCTAAAATATATAATTACGCACCTCATATTAGCATTCTGAAAATACAACGTTCCAAAAAAAAAGGAAAAGATTTGGATATTAAAAAGGAAAAGGTTAAATTAAAAAAATGAAAAGATACATAAAATGTAAAAAAAATTAATCATTCAATAAAGCAAAGCTCTAGAAAAAATTTTGAACCAAAACAAAAATATAATAAAACGGTCAAAGAAAAAAAAGGGTATAAGTCACGTAAGTTGTTTATGGAGAAATTGAATGATAAAAGCTATTGTGCAGCCAAATTAAAGCTTTGGGTTACGCGTTTATTTTATTTAAAATGTATTCGTTGTAAATTGGTAATGTAATTACTTCAATTTAAATAGCACAACAAGCGTTTTACATTAAAAAACACAACGCAACAGCTAATTTGTAAGTATTATGCCCGCCCCACTCAAAAAGGTGGAAAACCTTGTCATTTAAATTTTATTATCAATTTATTTTATAAGTAGACTCACAACTCGATTTGGATGATCTAAACTGATACAGGATATTTGAAAAACATTTGGTAATGCATTTTTGTATATGAGTAGACAAAATCTGATGTTACGAAATTTTTTTAATATTTTAAACTTTTAACAAATATTTTTTTAACAATCTCAATTTCAATTACTAAACCCTTTACAGTAATACTGGTTGCCAATAAAGGTTTTTTTTTTATGTCCATAAAGATAAAATGGCTATCTTTACGTTAATTGCTAATTAGTTTATACAAAAAAATGGGAAAATCTTTTAATTTTAGAATCCTCTTCTTCTATGTATTCTGCAATTATAAATTTTCTCAAGCCTGCTCTATATAAATACTTTCATCCAGTTGGTAAAACCCATTTTGGTATAGATTGATTCACCATTGTTTAAGTTATAGATCTTACAAGGAACAAAAACATTGCATCAGGTTCACTTAATTATTCAACCTATTCGTATTTATAAAACTTTAAAGAAAATTTAACTCCCAATATTTATCAGTAAAAATTTTTTTGAAAGATATTGGTTTAAAACCCGATTTGAATCGATTTTTAAAAATGGCCCGATTAAGATTTTAGCCAAAATAAAATTATATAAGCCTCAGCATTTGGTAAATAGATATCCAAACCTTTATGGCATCAATGAGCAAAATCTCCAGACTTACATAATTTTGGTTATATTTTTAATTGGGACCTTATTGAAAATCGACCCGAATAGGGTCGTTTAACAACAGTAGATGTTAGTATATTTGATGATGCTTGATTTAATTTAAATCATGTAAAATATTTGCAATAAGAATAACTAAAAATATGCATTTTTTTACTTCCTCATTACGATATGAGGTGCGTTGGCGCTATTTCATCAAATATGAATAATTATTTTTTTTAAAACCGATTGTGGTTTGAACTAGTGATCTGCATAGGGCCTAATTTTTTAAACCCGGCCCGAAATTCTTTTTAAAAAATTTTACCGGCCCAGCACAAACCCGAATTATTTTTTTGAAAAAATTTATCGGCCCGACCCGAATTTATTTAAATATAAAAATTAATTTAAAATATTAATTTTGATAATTACTCAAAATAAACGATATATATGTTATATGGCGTCTAGTTTCTATAAATAAAATCAAATATTTTTATTTTACATAAAAAATTCAATATAAACTGATAAATTTAGATATATTTAAAATAATTTCTAAGACCTGGCCCGACCCGAATTTTTTTAAAAAATATTTACTTTTGCAGATTTCTAGTTTGAACAAAAGCTAAGATTTTTCTCTCCCATTATATTCTTTTTTTAAAAAAATTTATCTAAACAATATTTTATAGGAACCAACAGAATTTAATTTTGGACCAAAATTTTTGTCCCCCCTTCCACCTACCCCCCCCCCCCTCAAATGGATGATACTAGAATCTGACATGAACGGCTATACCTTATCCATCTACAGGGCTAAATGTTTCAAATTTGGTCAATAGATGTATTTCTATTTCATACACCATTATCATCAAATAAATTACGATAAAAAATTTTATTGCTATACGGAAACTAGTTTACTAATATCTTGACTTGATTTCATCAAATAACAATCAGAAATTATCTTTTCAAGGATTCGCTAAACGATCAATTTTCAAACTTGGTTGATCTATTTCACTTACAAATAAAAAATTAGGTCTCTAAAGGAGCTATGGGGGTAAATATTTATTGTAACAAATAAATTTCATTCGATTATTTAATATTTGTTTTAAATAAATTATGGATCGTGAAGATATAGCATTACTTCAATACTGTAGATTTTATAATGCAATATGTAATAATATTATGAGTGCAATTAATAATTTTATTTAAGCATATACATTATTGTATACGTGAAATTGTGATAAGAATAATTATATATGTGCCTTGAGTATCATTTTAAATGTGTATTTCCTAAAATAAATAATGTAGTCATTTAAAAATGCAATAGCTGCACTCTAGTGTTTTACCCATTATTTTACATATGTTCTTGTCTAAAAATATACTAAAAAAATAACCCTGCATATTAGGAATAAGCTATGAACGGGGACCCCACTGAGGCCAATTAAAAACAAAATAAGAGGCATGCTCGCTGAGGTCCCTAGAAAAAATTACCAATTATGCCTAGGCACAAAATATATTTTCATATGGTTTTCATTTAAAACAATAACATGGTTTTCTTACAAATTCAATTACCTCTCACAACTTTATATATTTTACATAAGATTTTTAATTTTCAGTAAGAAATATACAATTAATAAATAGAAAAAAAGGAGTTGTTATTTAATACTTATTTAAAAATGATAGTTTCAATTGGAAAAAATATATCATTGCGATTTCACCCCTCCCTCCCTCCTTACCTACACGTCCACAAATTTAATGTTTTTTATTATGTTTTTATCAAAAGATAAAATGTTTTTTAAAGTTACTAGATATTATAAGTAAACAGACATCTTGTTGGGAGATACCTAAAAATTTTAGGGATTATCACAATAATATAATTTGTAAAATTAAACACATTTTTGAAATAAAAAAGATTAATTAAACAAAATGTCGCCCTATTGTTTATGTATGTGATTTTTTAGGTGATTTTATTTTTTTGCATGAAATGCTACATACAATTTACCTTTTGTCTTTTTCTCGAATAACAATTTTTATTAATTGTCCATTTCAATTAGAACATATTCGCGACAAACAGATATCCAATAAAAAAAATATATAAATAATTTTAATTATACCTTATTTTTTGTTATTATAAATTTTTCTTAAATTATACTTTAAAATTAATTCTACTTATATTAATGTACAAGTCTATTTTATTAGTGCTTTTGGGCTTTTTGGCACTTTCTAAATATGAAGGAACCGATTATCACGACAAAGATGATCTCATTGACAATTTAGCTCACCACCATCATCACAGTCATATTGATAGTTACAAGCATACCTTATTTGACACTTCTTTCCACGCACCAAATGACTTATCAGATCAAATACCTTATCATGCGGACAAGACACAATTAGAAACACCTGACATCGCAAATAGAGTCAAACAATACGTTAAGGATTTGAAAGGCCAAATTAAACAAGAAAAAGAATCAAAATTAAGCCTCATTAAGTCAGGAGAAAAACAGGCATCCGAAGAACCGAAGGGGTTCTTCAATACTCTTGGGAATAAAATCAGTGGCATATTTAGCTCGGTTAAAAATCTCGCTAAAAAAATTATTCCCCTCAAAAATTATGATAGCAAGAATACGAAAGAAAAACCGATAGAAATCATAAAATCAGATTATAGGGCTGATACGAATAATAGTAAAATATTTAGTTCCGTTAAGAAGTTCGCTGAAAAGATTTTTCTCCGAGAAACTCAGAATATTAAAAACATAACTAAAAAGATTCTCACAAAGATAGATAAATCTATTCCTAAGGTTGATACAATTAAAACTAGCATTGATTCCGCTAAGAAATCCTTGGAAAAGATTTTTCTCGACAAAACTCACGATATTAATAACATTAACAATAAAATACTCACAAAAATAGAAAACAATATCCCCAAGGTTGATACGATTAGAACCAGCATTGATTCCGCTAAGAAATCCGCTGAAAAGATTTTTCTCCAAGAAACTCAGAATATTAAAAACATAACTAAAAAGATTCTCACAAAAATAGATAAATCTATTCCTAAGGTTGATACAATTAGAACTAGCATTGATTCCGCTAAGAAATCCTTGGAAAAGATTTTTCTCGACAAAACTCACGATGTTAATAACATTAACAAAAAAATACTCACAGAAAACAATATCCCCAAGGTTGATACGATTAGAACCAGCATTGATTCCGCTAAGAAATCCGCTGAAAAGATTTTTCATCAAGAAACTCAGAATTTTAAAAACATAACTAAAAAGATTCTCACAAAAATAGATAAATCTATTCCTAAGGTTGATACAATCAAAACTAACATTGATTCCGTTAAGAAATCCGTGGAAAAGATTTTTCTCGACAAAACTCACGATATTAATAACATTAACAAAAAAATACTCACAAAAATAGAAAACAATATTCCCAAGGTTGATACGATTAGAACCAGCATTGATTCCGCTAAGAAATCCGCTGAAAAGATTTTTCTCGACAAAACTCACCATATAAAAAACATAACTAAAAAATTACTTACAAAAATAGATGAATCTCTTCCTAAGGTTGATACAATTAAAACGAGCAATATATTTGATTCCGTTAAGAAGGCAATCGAAAATGTTTTTTTCACCAAAGCTCATGATGACAAGAACAAAACTATACAACGCCAAAAAAGAACTACTCAAAGTGGTAACGACATATTTCTCCCCACATCCTTCATTTCCAATATAGATTACATGAGAGTACCTTTTGTGGGTGCAGCTCTCAAATTTTTTGCCGAAATGTACAACGACATAAATGAGTACCATTACAAAATAGGGTATGGTGTATATTAAAATTATATAAAATAAATATTTTTATACTTTATATTATTAGTGAAGGGCATAGCTCGGTCTTTGGTTCAGACCAGATCGATGCACATAATCCGGACATGACGATAGTTTTTTATTGTGCTCCTAAATAAATATACCTGTCCTATTTATTTTTTTGTTATTTTAACAAATTTTCCAATGACTTTATTTATATTTTAAAAAAAACAATTTAAAAAAAATCAACAAAATGCATATCTTTTTTTAAAAAAATATAAATTTAAGAAAATATGGCCTAAAGCCGGAATTCTGCGGAAAACACCATTGCGCTCCCTTTAAAGTAGTTTGCAAGAATAGTCTTTATGAAGTTAGGAGCTATGGTAACTTGACATTAGCCACTTTTACTGTCAATGGATCCGATTACCTTAATAATGGTGTAAAAACGGGCTTAGCTGAAATTTTAAAGTATCTTAATGGAAATAACGATAGAGGTTTGTTCATTTTATACTATATAAACGATAATCATGCTTGTAGTTTAATATTATAAAAGTTAGATAATCTCATTTATTAATTATTTCTGATAGAAATTCATTCTATAAAAAACTATATAATTTAACTTCCAAATTATCAATTTTTTCAGGTGCATGGATATTTTTTGGTGATTAATGTAGTTTTTTCCCTTTTTATGCAAACATTTTATACAAATCATACAAAATAGACGCGACAATACCCTACTCGGTACCGTTAGTTGTCAATGGTCCGCTAAGCACGTCAACTTGCCCCAGGGCTCAATTATTGAAATTAATAAATGGCGGCCCTGGCCCGACTCTCTCTGTAGCCTTGATTCCACCTTACGATACAAACCCGCCAATACCAACGTGCCCTTCGGTTAATATTATCATATTTTTTGCCTATTATATTCTGTGTCAACGATGAGCCGGCTTTAAGTAAATTACTGACAGCTATCTAATAATATTGATTTACTGAATCATTTTACAAAGCGATTTGTATCCAATTTTTTTTATTGATCACTTTATATTAGTGAACATATTTTTTATATTAAAAAAAAACTATTTGTCCAATTATAATTTTATTTATTTCTTAACAAATTATATTTAGCTCAAGATAAAATATGTAACTAATGGTTTCTGCTATGTTAGAATGTTTTCAGGTTATGCTCTTCCGGGTACTTTTATCTCGAAGGGAAATGAATTCATTAAAATTCTGCAAAATAACGAGCAATTCATAACACACAAACCCATGATTGCCGTCTATAACAGGTATTTTTTTTAAAAATTAATAAAAAATTTGGGTTTGAAAGATTTTTAAATTTTTTGAAATTTAAACATAGGATTTACTTAAAAAATTACACCGTTTATAACATTTTGATTATCTATATCAGATATCCCTTTTCAATCTAAGCTTCTCGATTTTATTAAGAGTGGTTAATAACCTCAATAAGATGTACAATTTTGGTTACAAATTAAATTTTTAGAAATATTTTTAAATGTTATTTATTTTTATTTCGAAACTTTAATGAAAATAAATAAATAAGCTATTTTAAATATAAAAATAAAAACATGTCCAAAACAATACTCTAGCTTTGAATTTTTTAAAGATAGTCTTAGATATAGTCCATCTAAAAGTATTAAAAATTTATCAGAAGTATTCGATTTAAGCTGGTGTGCCGTTTACTTTTTTATAAAGCTTATTCTTTTTTGATCTTAGAAAAAAATTAAAGATGTTTATATAATTCTTCATATTTCATAATTTATAATGACATTTTTATACTCTTATGAATTCTATTTGATTAAACAATTAGGCCCAGCCAATTTACGAACAGACACAACGAGATCTTTATTCCTGTCAATAAACCCGTGCAAGGAGACCGATATTGCTAAATATGCTTCCTTTCTTCTAAGATTTATATCCTATATTTTTTGTTTTAAATATTATGTAATCACATTATTTTTTTCTTTCTATAAATTGTAAATATATATGGCCCATCTCATCAACTAAGTGAATAATCTTATTTTGCCTGCCATCAACACAAATATAGCATGTACAAATTGGTGGTCTTTCGCTTAGTTTGAATTGGGCCTTCATCTAAATTTATCATTCAAAATTTTATTACTGTAGAAATATATTAATTCACATATATAATATAAATTTTTGTAATATTTTGGAGTTTATATTGTCTTAATTACTGTAATAAAGCTTCCAAGACACACTTTATTTTCGTCTTGTCTCCTTAATTCATATTAAATTTTCAACTTATATATTATTTTTTTTAAAAAAATTTTGTAACAAAGATATCAATGGGTTAGTTTGCGCTATATAATTTTAGAATAAATTGTTTAAAATCAGATTTTTAGGCTAAATATTATATAACTCTAAATTACAGCCCCGGTTTCGAACCAAGGTCTATTCTTAAAATTATTTTTTGAGCTGGGTCGGGCTTAAATTTTTATATTTTTCAATTCTAAGATATATCACTAATTACCATATCGACAAATAATTTATATTTCGGAACAAATAATAAAAATTTATTATTCGGGATCGGGAAGGACAAAAAAAATATTTCGGGTCGGGCACGTGTTGGATTGTGAATTCAATAATTTAGCTTCAATACCGTATTGATATTATCATTGTAGATTCAATATCATAGCGATATTTTGGTATTGTAAATTCAATACCGTAGTGATATTTTGGTATTGTAGATTCAATATCATACTGATATTTTGGTATTGTAGAATCAATACCGTATTTATTTTTAAGAGATGTTTTCATCGCTTCAAATATATTGGCGGCCATTAAAATCATAAAATATTTATTCATTATATATTTTTTCATCAAAAATTTTGGCGGCTATTTTCGATTTGTTGTAAATTTATTTAAAATAAAATAGATTTAATAGTTTTAAATATATTTAAATGGTTTTCTATTCTTTTAGATAATTTTTTCAAGGAATTTATTTATTTAACAATTCTTGATGTCCTATATAATTTTTATTTGTTTACTCATTATGTATTGTTTATTCAACTCCATCCTGCAGAAAATTTTAAATAATATAATTGTCGATTCATTTATAAATGTCGATTCAAAGATTTGTAAATTATATTTTAGATTTTATTCGTAAAAATTGAGGTTCGGTCATAAATTATCAATACGTATTGATTTTAGATGGTATTGATTTTACAATACTACACCGGGTGAAAAATTGGCCCGATGCAGATCACTACTAAATATTATGATTATAAATATAAAATGGAATAAATTATAAAAGAAAGGAAACCATTAATAAAAATGTAGTTATTAATATTATACAATTTTAACTCGAAACAAGTTAATAGAAATAAGAATAGATTTTTAAAACTTATTCTGATACCCCAGAAGTTTCTACAGCTATTTAAAAGGATGAGAACTGAACTTTTTTGTCTCAAAGGAACTGCTACGTGATCGGTATCATTGATCATCAAAATGTTTTAGGAACGAAAAACGGCTCATGTTTTTGGTTTGAACATTATTATTTGAGGAGATAGTGATTATTTTGTCATACAATCCCTCTAAAGGTTTTTGCAGTCTTTGCTATATTTCTATCAGGGATCCGAATCTTTATGAATGCCGCCTTGGGTTCATATAAAAATAAATAGTTCACATCTGGACTGATAAATAAATCTATGGACGAGATTAATGCTAAGGTTAAATGGTTGTTAAATTTGAGGTAGAGGTTAATATATATTGTGAAATTGTTCAAAATAGATTGTTATACACTTCCTTTTCAAGTTTTAAATGAATTTCATTTCTAGAAAATTTATGTCTGAGATGGAATCAAAAATATAATTTGGGACCCAATATAAAAAATAATACAATATCCTTATATTATTAAATATTTTTGGACAAAAACATAATCCCTCCGGGGTTTACTGCTTAAAAAATATTTAAATGCTCGCATAGACGATAAAACGTTTGTACCGAGCAAGAGAGGCAAAGTCTCGAGTTTGAGATACGTCTCAAACAAAGTTAAAATCTTTGAAATGTGTTACGACTTTTAAAAAATACGAAGTTATTTTTCTTAAAATCAATTTAATTATTTTTACAAAAAAAGATGATTTTATTTTAGAAATTTTATAATAAAAGTATATTAGTAGCGGAAGCGTCCTTTCTAGTAGAACGCAGTTGAGATGCGTCCCCTCCCAATAACTTTGGGACTCGTCCCATCTCAAAAATTAAAGTCAGTGGGGGTGTCAACATTTGATTAACATTGCCACAAGTCTTGCCCAATTCCCCTATTCATTGCTATTATTAATTAAAATTAGCAAAAAAGAGAAAACCTAACAATCCCCCTTAAATGACAATTCGAATGAGGAATCGAAAAAAAATTATATTTTTATAGGTTTTTATTTTAGGCTTATTTCTAGAAATTTAAATATTCAACCTTTCTTTTGTTGAATAGTTTGCAGGCATTTATATTTGTTGCCATTTTAAGTTATACCTTTTCTCAAAATTTATTATATTAATTTTGGAGATTATTATAACGTCTACTCTGTCTACATCAGATAGGAACTAGTAACTTAACGAATATTTTACCATTGAATAAGTATATTAGCGCATCTTCACATAATAAATTATCACTCCCCACCTTATCAATTTGACAAAAAAAAAGGTTTCGAAAAATTGTTTTATTTCATATATTTTTCAATGATTAAAACAAGTTTAAATTATTTTAAATAGAAGAAAAAAATAGAAGATGTTATTTTGAAAACTTATAAAAGTTTTCAATTTTATTACGCTTAATTGTTTACAATTGAAATTTTTTTTTTTAAATCATAATTGTCGTGTCACCCCTCCACTGAATTTGCATTTTTATTTTCGATAATATTTTATTTTTTTTAGAAAATATGTATCTTGTTGAGATTTTTTTTTTCTACTAAAGAAAGAATTTCACAACACAATATAAAAGATAGGATTTTATTGTTTTATTACCTTTTGTCTTTTTCTCGATAAATAGTTTGTAATTGTCATGTAAGAAAGGGTTTCCTTTTCAATTGGGTCAAAATATTATTGACGATAATCTGATCGTCAACACAAAAAAAAATATATATAAATATTTTTAAATTTTCTTAGATTTTCTCATTATAAAATTTCTTCTTTTATTAACCTTATATTTTAAAAATTAATTCTACTTCATATTAAATGTACGAGTCCATTTTATTTGTGCTATTATGCCTTTTAGCACTTTCGAAATCTGGAGGCATCTATTCCAACGACAAAGATGAGGAACTCATCGACGATTTAGCTCATCACCTTCATTTTAGTCATCCTTATGGTTATGAGCTATATGAAAATCCTCTATTCGATATCTCTCATGATGAACTCTACGCATTCAGAGATTTATCACCAGATCAAAAATCTTCCCACAAGAAAGGGCAAGAACCATTTAACATCATCAAAAATGTGAAACAACAAATAAAGGATTCCATACTAGAAGTTAAGCAAAAAATAATAACAAAGGTTAACCTTACTAAATCAAAAGAAAAACAAGTTAATTTTCATCATATCTTCAAGCTCGAAGCATCAAAAAAGATTCTACATAGCTCTGATACAAATAAAATCAGCAAGGAATTTAATTCTGCTAAAAAAATCATTGAAAAAAATTTTATCGCCAAAATTTACCTCAAAAACCTTACAAAAAACATAGAATTCGCTAAAAAAGAACTCATAAAAACAAAAATACAACTCAAAAAAGAAAAAGAACTCATAAAGGCCAAAAAATCTATTCAAAGAACTAATAACATATTCCTCCCGACATCCTTCCTCTCCAATATAGATTTCATGCGAATACCTTTTCTGGGTGCTTCTCTCAAATTGTTTGCCGAAATGTACAACGACATATTTATTAATTTTTAATATAATTTTATATACTAATATTGTTGTTCTAAGTGTTTTATTTAAATAAAAAAACATTAATTTAAGGAAACTAGGTCTAAAGCCCGAATTCTGCGGAAAACACAGTTGCCCTCCCTTTAAAGTAGTTTGCAAGAACAGTCTTTACGAAGTTAGGCAATACGATAAATTGACACTAGCCACTATGACTGTCGATGGAAGCGATTACCTCAAAACTGGCCTAAAGTCCGGCATTATCGAAATTTTTAAGTACCTCAATGGGAATAACAATAGAAGTTAGATCCATAATTTTTTAATTAACCTTTGTTTATTTCATATTACATAGTTAGGTGGTTCTTTCAGTTATAAATGAATTCAGTTTTCTAAAATCATGGATAGATTTTTTTTGAGTAAGAAAATGTGATATACTAAATAATTTAATAAAATTGATAAATTTTGGACAATACTTATTTTTAATATATTATATGCATATTATCAAAATAGATGTTACCATACCCTTTTCTGTGCCGGTTGTGGTCAAGAGCCCACCCAGTGCTTCAACTTACCCCAGGACTAGATTATTAGAAATTAAAAATGTAGGGGCTGGACCGAGCATATCTCTAAGCTTGACCCCACCTTTCGATGTTAACCCACCAATACCAACATGCCCTTCAGTAATATTATATAACATTTTACTTTAATGCCGTATTTTATTAACATCTGTTTAAGCAATTTACTGATGGATGATGAAAAAATTTTGAATTAGCCAGTAGCTTTAAAGTGGCTACAATATTAAGTTTTTATTATAGATTATTTTTTATTTATTATAAGGCTATTTTTCTGATTTTCTTCGAATTATAATTTATTACATTAGCTCAAGATAAAGTATGTCACTAATGGTATTTGCTATGTTAGAATGTTTGGAGATTATACTCTTCCGTCTAACCTTGTCTCGAAGGAGAATGAATTCGTCAAAATTCTACAAAATAATAACCAATTCATTACGCACAGACCCATGGCCGCCTTTTATAACAAGTTTTTAAAAAAATATTTAAAACTTTTTATTAAGG